TAGATTCCTGCTATGAGTGAGACCATTTTTTCTTTTTATTTCTGGCTTATTTCACTAAGCATGATCTCTTCCAGCTCCATCCATGTTGCTGCAAATTGCATGGACTTATCTTTTTTGATTGCTGGGTAATATTCCATTGTGTATACATACCACATCTTCTTGATCTAGTCATCTATTTTTGGGCATTTGGGTTGCTTCCATAGCTTAGCTATTGTAAATAGCACTGCTATAAACAAAGGGCTGCAGGTGGTCTTTGGAATTACTGTTTCTGTGTTATTTGGGTAAATACCTAGGAGTGGAATTGCTGGATCATATGGAAGCTCTATGTTTAGTAGGTCAAGAAATCTCCACACAGCTCTCCACAGTGGTTGGACCAGTTTGCACTCCCACCAGCAGTGCAGGAGAGTTCCTTTTTCTCCACATCCTCGCCAACATTTATTGTCGCTAGTTTTTTTTTTTTTAATATGTGCCATTCTCACTGATGTGAGATGGTATCTCATTGTAGTTTTGATTTGAATTTCCCTGATTGCAAGTGATGTTGAACATTTTTTCATATGCTTCTTGGCCATTTGTATTTCCTCTTCAGAGAAGTTTCTTTTTAGCTCTTCTGCCCATTTTTTGACTGGATCATTTACTTTGTTTTTGTTGAGTCTCTCTTCATATTTGTAATTTTATTTTTTTTTAGGCATGTTTTATTTATTTATTTGTTTGTTTGTTTTTGTTTATACATGCACTGGGTACAGTCAGAAGCGTGGGAGGGTGAGAGAATTCACCAGAGCCAGAGCGGGGAGCAGAGCAGGCAGAAGGACCAAAGTACACTGCTGAGGGGAGCAGCGGGCGGCAGGAGAGGTCTGCGCGCATGCGGGACCCTCCTCCAGTGGCCGGGGAGCAGCCGGGGATCGAACCAAGCGCCGTAGAGGCCGCGGGCAGCTTCGCAACCCAGCGCTCAACTGCTGCGCCACCGGGGCGGCCCCATATTTGTAATTTTTTAAAAATATTATGGTAAAATACATAGGACATAAAATTTATTATCATAACCATTTTTATATATAATTCAGTGGTAAAACTTTCCATTAGGTACTTTAACCATTGCCATCATTCATCTCAAACCCCATTTCATATAAATCTAAAAAATACCCCTTATTAAATAATTCTCCTTTCCCTCTTGCAACTGTCCATGGCAATCATTTTATTTCCTGTCTGTATGATTTTGACTACCCTGAGTATGTCACATAAGTGGAATAAGATAGTATTTGACATTTTGTTGTTGACTTATTTGATTTAACGTAACATTATCGCAGTTCACCCATGTTGTTATATATATCAGAAAGGCTTTCTTTTTAAAGTTGAATAATACTCCAATGTATGGATATACTACATTTTACTTTTTTACTTTACTTGTCTGTTTAGCCCATTGGTGGATGCTTGAGTTGATTCCACTTACAAGCTAATGTGAATTCTTCACATTTCAACCAACAGGTTTGGAATTTAAGAAAACCACTAAGGAGAATGATGTGTTCCTGGTAGAACTGGGAGCAGAGGGATCTGTACCTGACTCAAAATTGTAACAATAGTCTAAAGACAAGACCTATGACAAGAGCTTTTAGGTAGCAGAGGAAGAGACTGCATTGGTAATGCTCTGCACCTTCAGTGCTTGGCAACAAAACTGTGTTTTCTATGAGTCAGATGTGGCTCACAGAAAAGGAGGTTGGCAGGGGGCCACCTTGAAATATTCCTCATAAGAGATTTCTAATCACTATGAAGAGACTGAAATGCACTAAAAGATTCCAAAACTGAGGGAGATCATCACCACTACTCAAATGCATTGTCTATACCAGAACACTTTTTCTGTTACATTTAGTGGGGATTTCTAAGGAGCTCTCAAAAACTATTCATAAGACAGATGCAGTATTTGTGTGTCTAAGACCCTGATATCAGATGATAACGTACCATTCAGTGATATCTACCTCCCACTTTGTTAAACCATAGGGTATATACATATTTGGGGTGTGTGTGTGTGTATATGTCATGGTGGTAATGGTAGGGTTTCTATGTTAGCAGCAGACTGAAGGATGGCACCAAGAAAGAGCAGAAAAGTCAGTCTTCCCTTCTCTTTTATGATTTTTTTAATCCCAAAATAAATCTTTCAGTACAGCAGGAAATATTTTAAATAGGAAAGTGCTTAGAATTTTATGTTAAGTTAAATTGCACCTGGTAAATACTTACTCATATATTAGTTACCAGTGTCAGGAAAAGCAAAAAGAGATATGCCCAAAATTTCATATGGAAGAAAGAAGAACAAACCCATGAGAAACTTGAAATGAATTCTTCTGAAAAAGATCTTATAAGAGCCCACATCTTAGATATACTGAGTTTGTTATTCTGGGAGACTCTTAAGTAAAGGCAGTTGGATCTTTGTTTAGGAAGCATAGGAGAGTGTTGACAAAGGGCTTACATTATGCTCCAGTACAAGGAAGAATGGTAGAAAATTATGAAAGAGATGAAATCATAAAATAGATAGAAGAAAACAGGTAAACACCCCACAATGTAGACTTCAGTGATATCTTTGGGGAATGAACTCCAATGGCTAGGGAAATAAAAACAAACATAAATGGGATGACATTAAACTAAAGAGCTTCTGCACAGTGACAGAAATGATCATTAAAACAAAAGGACACCTTACTAAGTGGGATTGATATTTGTATGACGTGCATATGACAAGATCTACATATGCATATGCATTGATATATGATCCAAGATGTACAAATAACTCATACAACTCAACATAAAGAAAATAAATAGCCTAATCACTATGGAAATAACCTAAGTATCCCAGAATAGATAAGTGAATCAAGAATATGTGGTCTGGGGGCCTACCTGGGGGCACAAGGGGTTAAATTGCAACCTATGAAGCTGTCCACAGCCGCTGCTGTGTGTTCGATTCCCAGCCGGCCAGGAAGCAACACACATGGTGCAGCAGACCTATCCTGACTGGCCTGCTGCTCCGCTCAGCAGTGTATTTTGGTCAGTCTGCCTGTTCTGTGCCTCGCTCTGTCTCTGGTGAATCCTCTCACCCCCCGCACCTCTGGCCTATACCCCAGTTCTTGTATGCATAAATAAATCAATCTTTTTAAAAAAAGAATATGTGGTCTGTGTGCATAATGGAATACTGCTCAGCAATTAAGAAAAGGTAGACTTGTGCCATTTGCAGCAGTGTGGAAGAGCTAGAACAGATTGTGCTAAGTGAGAAATAAGTGAAACTAAGTGGAAATAAGTGAGAAGGGAAAAGATAAATACTGGATGGTGTGACTTATATGTGGAATATAGAGAAACTACACAAAGGGTCAGACAAAGACAAACATTAAAATAACCCTTGAAAGCTGACCATAGATCTGAAGCATCCTGAGGCAGGAGGTGAGAATGATGGTAGGGTAGGGTGAAGGGGAAGAACAGAAGGACTATGATGGAGGACTGTGGGTACATTGGTGGTGGGAGAGCTATGGCGACTCTATCTTAGGGGGAAAATCCTATACTGTAAAAATACTAACAAGGACGTAAACAATGTTACTTTATTAAAAATAGAAAAAGTAAAAAATAAAATAATGGGCAGAAGATCTAAGTACAGTCTTCCCTAAAGAAGTCATACAGATGGCTAACAGGCACATGGAGCAGTATTCATCCTCACTTATCATTGGGGAAATGCTAATCAAAACCACGATGAGATAGCATGTTGTGCTGTGAGAATTCCACATGAGAAAGATCAGAAACAACAAGTGTTGTTGAGGTTGTATAGAAAAACAGAAATCTGGGGTGCTGTTAGTGGCAATCTGGTTTGATAATTTTAAATTGAAATTCTTCATGTTACAGGGCAGGGAGAGGGGCAGCCCAAACCCCTCAAACCTGCCTATTCTAAATGGGTTCTGCCATCCGCCGCATCAACACAAAACATAGGAGACTTTAATGGGAAGGAACTTTAATAAAACTAGGAAACAAGACAGGAAAGGCAAAGAATCTAGTTTCTAAATCAAGCACCCAAATTTACCCATCCCCTCGTGGGTAAAACTCCATCCAAATGGGATTGGCCCAGAACAAGGCCCCAAAGCCTGCCACAAGTCTAAAGCATCTTCCAGTGGGGACCCACAGAAAAAGGTCAGAAACAACCAGACAAGCCCAGAAGGAAAAGAGCAAAATCAAAATCAAGATAAAAGCTGCCATTGTCACCTCCCCACAGGTCTCACCCACATCTGTGTCACCCAGTCCATGACCAAAAGGCAAGCGCAGTTTCTTCACATGTCTCTCCATTCCATGTGCCTCCTCCAGGTCTCTTCCTGGCTCTCCATCCTGTTTCCTTCCTTCTTAGTCTCCTCTGCAGCTTCTCTCCCTGCTCAGCTCCACCCTCCATTTGGGTGGGGCAGGGAACCTGGGACCTTCCCCTTTCCTGGGGACCACCCTGTTACATTCCTACAGTTTGGTAGTTTTATGAATCATTTTCTGATTTTTTTAATATTTGAATTCCACTCATGCAAACATGTCAAATAGATGTGGTGGTTACAATAATGATGTTACTTACATTTGTGACTTTTACCACGATAAACATTTTTACAAAATAAAAATAATTCAGAACTGGTTCACCTTTCAAATAAAAAAAGGAAATTAATGAAAACATATTTCGAGATGCCTTATATTATAGCTATAATCATTTGCTGGCATTTTCTTTGTCCTTTATTTTCTCCTGCAGTTTAAATTCTCTTTTATAGGGCACTTATAGGGATTCTGAAGCCAGGAGAGAGGTAATTCATATGATAATTCCAGACTGTCTGCCTGTACCAGACCTATCCACTAACATCTTCACACTAAATGATTCTCCTGTGACTCCAAAGTCTAAATGAAAGTCCCTGGGAGCTATATCATTTTTGAGAGATGTTAGCCAAAGACAAGTATGCTTTTCTGTGTCATGATTGCCAAGAACATCTGAGCATTATTACAAGATAATTCACAGCATTGATTAAGTTCTCAGAGCATGTCCCATACTGAGTAAATGTTGAAAATGCCTGTGATTTTCAGACCATAGCTTTAACATTAGAAAAAATTATACCCAACGATTACAAAAGAATAGTCTACTTGGCATCCATGCATTTATACACAAACTTTGTACTACACTTGATCTTAGCCAAAAGGCCGAGAAGCAATATATACACAAACTTTGTAAAAGTAAACTGACACAGTGTTTCTGGGGGATATTTTATAAAATTCAACTTTTATATTTCAACAAATACTCAATGAGCATATACTATGTGCCAATCACTCTGGGAGGCACTGTGGAAAGATCTTGGACAAGGAAGTAAATTCTTTGTAATTGTGGAGAACTGATATTCTTACATGATGCCAGGAGCATTACAAGAGCATGAGATGATAGAGAAGATGCCCCTTGAGATCCAGATTTCAGAATTCACATATCTGTATATTCTATTGGACACAACAAACATTAAGGTGAAAGTATGAGGATATAAGACTCCACTTCTGAATCAGGCTTATCTAGTATCTGAGCAGTGAGGTACTTCAACTTACCCATGAAATATAAAATAATAATATTGAAATAACTAAGTCATTTCTATAGGTCTCATTTTCTCGTCAGTAAATTCCTTTGATACAGACAATATCCCCTCCTCCACCCCCACCCCCCAGGGTCTCAAATTTATCTTGAAAGAACCAAGATTCCTGACTCTGGGATGTTTTTCTTTATACCTTATCACATTTCCTCTAAATTTTATTACACCTGATGATTAGTACAGTGAATTGATAACTATGGTAATCTTGTTATTGAGGCTAATAATACTTGAGAGCTCAGTTTCCTATACCAGATTAACTGGGTTTAAAATTTGCTCTGCCATGGACTCTACAGGTTTTCTCTCTCTCTTTTTCTTTTTTAAAGATTTATTTATGCATACAAGAGTTGGGGTACAGGCCAGAGATGCAGGGGTGAGAGGAGTCACTGGAGACAGAATGGGGAACAGAACAGGCAGATGACTGAAATACACTGCTGAGGGGAGCAGCGGGCGTGACAGGAGAGGTCTGCTGTGCCATGTGGGTTGCTCCCTGGCAGGCCAGGGATGGAACTGCAGAAGCTGTGGATTGCTTCATAGCGTGGTGCTTAATCCCTTATGCCACCAGGGAGGCCCTCTACAGGTTCTGTTTAGCAAGTTATTTAACCCCCCTAAACTTTAATCTTCTCATGTGTAAAAATTTGAAAATAATAGTATGTCTTGGTAGTTTTTCTATGAGGATCAAATAAGGCCTGCAGAATGGCACTGTGCCTAGAACATATTGATAAAGATAACATTTATTTCATTAATACAGAGTTTCAATTAAGATGAAATTAACGTACAAGCATATGCTCTGATCTGTAGTGTGTAATTTGATGAGTTTTACCAGTAGATAAGCCTGTGTAATAATCTTCCTAATAAATATATAAAATATCCCCTTCACCCTAGAAATGTTTCTTGTGCCTCAGCCAGTTAATCAGTATGCGTTATTGTTTTGCTTTCAATTACATATATTTTGTTTGCTGCCTTTGTTCATAGAAATGGAATCATACAATATGTACTGTGGTTTTTTTTTCTGTAATTAACAAATTTCTTTATTTTAAAGAGTTATTTATGCATAGAAGAACAGGGGTGTAGGCCAGCAGTGTGGGGGCTGAGAGGATTCACCAGAGACAGAATGGCGAACAGAACAGGCAGACTGACTGAAATACTCTGCTGAGTGGAGGAGCAGATGAGACAGAAGAGGTCTGCTGTGCCATGTGGGTAGCTCCCTGGCTGGCCAGGGATCAAACTCATGCTGCAGTGGCTGCAGATAGCTTCACAGTGCTGTGCTTAACCCCTAATGCCACCAGGGAAGCTCAATTAACAAATTTCTGTTATGTTGACAAATGTATGCAAGCACATGTGTATTTTATTCTGTGTTTATATATACATATATAAGTTGCATGTAAGATTATTGCTGAATAATGTATTTTTCCATTTTATATCTATACCATGGAATTTGATTGTTCACTGTCCTTTTGATAGTATTGGAATTGTTTCAAATTTGAATATATCTCACAGAATACTTGTATGGAGGCCTTTTGGGAGACATTCTTATTTTTCTTTGGTAAATATCTTGAAATAGAATTGCTTTATATGGCACGTGGATGTTTACCATTGTAGGGAACTACAAAATTTATTTGCAAATAGTTACACCATTTTGCATTCTCACAAGAAAATATTTTGTTTCCTCTATACCTTCATGAATTTAGTATTGTCAATTTTGTAAATTTTAGCCATTCTAGTGCATATAAAATGTATTATTGTGGTTTCAGTGTGCATTTTCTTAGTGACTGCTGCTGATAACCTTTTGATGTGCTTATTAGATGCACATGTAACTTTTCCATAAGTGTTCAAGTATTTTCATCATTTTTATTGGGTTGTTTGCATTTTCATTACTGAGATTGTGTGATTTCTTTATGTATGCTGGATATAAGACCTTTGCTATATATTTTGGTGTATTTTCTCCTGTGTGTGACTTGTCTTCTGATCTTTTGTTCAGTGAAGTTTTTTGATGACACAATTTTGATTTTTATAATTATTCAATATCATATTTTATGTTTAATACTTTTCATCGGTCCTCTTTAGCAAAACTAGGAAAGACATTACTATTTCTAATTTGACAAGTAATATTTTTAAGAATCACTGTTGGATTTTCTCAAATAATTTTTCTTCTACATTTATTGAGATGATTTTATGGTCTTTTTACTTTATTCTGTTAGGTGAGTGAAATGCACTGATCTTTGAACATTAAACCCATTTTTGTAGTTAGCCACATTTCATAAGTATATAAAATGTTGTTTTGATTTATTATTGAGGTCAGTTTGGTAGTGTTTTGTAAATTTTGCATCTGTAGTTATGTGATGTCTTAGTCCATACTTAACGTTTGTCAGACTTTGGAATTGAGGACATTCTGGAGTTTGGAAGTAATTCAGCCTCTACTTTTTACAAAAGTTTTTGTCAGGTGGGTTTTGCTTATTGTTTAAATAATTCATAAATTTTAAAAGTAAAACTATCTGGGAAAAGAGTTCTCTCTGAGAAAATGTTAGATAGGTATTAATTTCTTATAAATGAATTATATGTCTCCATATAGATATATATGGATAGATGGATAATTAGCTGTTCCATTTCTTCTGATAGTTTTGTTAACTTGTTGTTTTCAAGGATCTGTCTAGTTAATGAGTTATTAAGTAATTAGAATAAATAAACCACAGTCCATTTCATCCCTTTAATACTTACAAGATTTTATGATATAGCCTCATTTGTTCCTGAGGCTGTATTTCTAGTTATGGGTAATCAATTTTATTTATATATTCAAATGCAGACAAGTTTTATGGATAGCTTATCTATTTTTTCATTTCTTAATTTCTGTTTATGCTTTTATTCTATCTTTCATTACTCTTACTTTTAGGTTAATTTATTCTTCAAAAGCCAGAGGCTTAGATGATTGATCTTAACCTTATTTTCATATCTATGTATTTACAGTTATACATTTTCCTCTAAACCCTGCTTTTGCTCCACAAAACAAATTTCGATATGCAGTGTTTTTATTTAATTTAAAATATTTCCAATTTTCTTTGTGAAAGCTCCTTTGTTACATGCATTATTTAAAAGTATCTAGTTCAATTCTCAGAAATTTTCTATTTTATAGTAATGCTTTTGATTGAAACTGTTATGGAGGAGAATATACCCGTCAGCTTTCATAATTTGAAATTTTGCTAGGTTTAGTTTACGAATAGTTGAAAGCACTATACATTTTTCAGTTAACTGTGCAATATAGTGTGAATATAGTGTTTACTGTGAATATAGTGTTCTGTAAATGTTAATTTAGTGGACTTTATCTCCAACTATAATTATGGATTTGTTTGTTTTTCTTATTTTGTCATATTTGCTTCATTTAATTCAAAGTCTCTGTTATCCTGTCTGTAAACTTTATGTTTTTTTATGTCCTTTTGACATACTTACCATTTTGTCATTATAAAAAGTAACTTTCTCATAATATTTCTTTCAGCTATCAATTTTTTATTTACATTGTTTGTCCTGTTAATTTCCCCTTCTGATATATATGCTTTGTATTATATTCATAAATTATTTTAGTACTTGATTTTAATTTCTATAATATTTTAGCTATTTTTTATGTAATTTTTAGTGGTGCCTTAAGAACTACCATTTTAATTTTTAATTTTTCAAAATCTATTTACAGTTATGAATATGTCACTTCATGAACAAGGAAAGAAATCTGCACCAGCATAATATTATTTAACACCAAACTCTAGGATATTTTGTGCTATTGATGACAAATGTTTTTTATAGATCTGTATATATATGCCTATAAACTCAAAATGTAGTGTCATAATTTTATATTAAAATGTTAGGTGTCTTGTGATATATATATATATATATATATATATATATATATAGTATTTTCTCACCTAGTAACCATTCTCAGTACTCTTCACTCATAAATCTGAGCTTCCATCTATTAACACTTTTTCCTCAGCCTGAAGAACTAACTTTAGCATTACTTTTAGTCTCAATCTTCTGGTGAGAAATTCTTTCCAACTTCATTTATTTTAAAAAAAATTTATTTTGCTTTTGCTTTTGAAGGATATACTTATTTATTTACTGGGTAGAATTCTATGCATACATTTTCTTTCATCACTTTAATGTCTTCTACTGTTTCCTGATCTCAATTAAAACTTTGAAAAGTCAATGATTACTGTAGTATTAGCCTTTGACTTTGAAAATTCAGTGATTACTGTAGTATTAGCTTCCAGCAGTTGTAAAGTTTTTAGGGTGCAGACAGAGGGATACCCCAGAACCTCCAAAATAAATCACTCTTTAAGAGCCCTGCCATCCATGTGCACAAAGACAAAGCACACTTAGTGTGAAAGAACTTTAGTGTGCACAGACAAAAACATTGATTCAAAAGAACACCTGTACACTTTTGTTTATTGCAGCACTATTTACAATAGGTAAAACCTGGAAACAACCCAAATACCCAAAAATAGATGACTGGATCAAGAAGATGTGGTATATATACACAATGGAATACTATTCAGCAATCAAAAAAGATAAACTCATGCCATTCGCAGCAACGTGGAT